CACCATCCCCGTCACCTATAGTCTGTTGTAAGATCTTTGATAAACAGAGCATACGACCTTTGCGACCCTGACATCTTGGAGAATGAGATATCCCATGTTAAGAAGGTCCTTAGGTGGAACGGATACAGAGTGAACAGACGGCAACCACGGCGAAAAGCTAAAGGGAAACGTCCTGACGTTTTAAGGCAACCAGCGTTTATGTCTTACGTGAAAGGAATAATGGACAAAATCGGTACAGTACTAAAAAAGTACTGTATAAAAACTGTGTTTACTCCGTTATCTAAGGTAACGGGGCATGTCAGATCACCTAAGAATGTAATCCCCTTTCAATCTCCGGGCGTTTACAAGATTGATTGCAGTTGTAGGAGTTCCTATATTGGGCAGACAAAACGGAACCACAGCGGAAAGAGTTAAAGAACACATCGCGGCTGTTAAGAACCGTCAGCTCAATAAGTCTGCAATAGCCGAGCATTTGCTGGAATCGGGACCAAACCAGTGGATTGAGCTTCATAATCCCAAGATCCTTTCTACAGAACGTCATCACTATAGTAGAATCGTGCGTGAAGCTACTGAAATTAAAAAAAACACTGTAATTTCAACCGAGAAGACGGTTTTAAGCTTTCATCGTCATGGGATCCAGTTATCAGCAAATGTAAACGACATCAAGTATCGCCCGACAAGTCGCCGGATATCGTGAGTGTTGTGTGTCGGTCTGGTGAGAACCCTGGTGCACAAATAAATAATCAAGTGCGACACCCGCCTCTTCAGTCCCTTCGAGACCATGGACGTTGCAATATGTCCGAAACGTCGAGGTAATTAAAATATGTTTTATTACGTGCTTAAGTCCCGAACTAAAAATCAAATAATGTGAAACTCAAAAGGAAAATCGTGAAACGCTTAAATCAAAGTATAATTTAGTTTCGTTTTTTCTGTTGCTACACAAAATTGTGGTACAAAAAATTCTCACTACTATCACCTTGAATTATCTTTTCGAATGGTGGTACTAGTGGGAAATAAAATACCACAAGTACCACCCATGGTACTTATTGGTGGGATTAGTGGGAATACTCGACGATAGCGATGCATGGTCGCTTTGAAAAAACTATATAAGATCACGCATCATAATTTGTTACAATAAAAAGTCTAACACGGAAGTTAGAAGACTACAGCGGGATGGATAAGAGTTGATTATGACCATTGACTTACAAATAAATGGACGACGGGTCTAATACAAAAACCACGAAAAAAATGTCCCAAATCAACCTATTCGAAATTTAAATTGTAATGTCATCGCAGTATCGCGCTGTCAGTCGAACAAATGAGGACTAAAGCGGAGTTTGGCGCTCTGTATACGATTTTAGCGCTTTACAAGTGCGGACACTTTTTAGCGCGGACCCGACGTCCATATAATTGTAAGTCAATGATCATGACAGTAATTTTATTACATTTTTTCTGAATATAGTTTCTGTTTAATAGCAGTAGATCTCCTTGTGAAAGAGTTCGTCCAGGGAAGTACTGCCACCTTACCTATTTCTGCCGACAAGCAGTAATGTGAACATACATGTGTCAGGGTCACAGGCGCAGTGGCAGTGTTCCTCAGACCTTTGCGATTTAAAGTTCCGAGTCATACTGCAACTACTATGGACAGATGTGTCGCTTAACACCACGGCCTGTCACTTGATATCATAAAAAAAAGAGAAAATAACAACACAAAATGATCCTCAGTACATAATTTATTTAATGGATATGTACAAAGACAAAAAGATTTTAGAACAAATAAAAATTTGGCAATCAACAACAATGGCGTAGTGGTTTCGATTACAAGCCGGCAAAAAATATCAACAATCAACAATTTATTCTTAAAAATAGGTCGGATTATACAAATACAGCTAGATTTTAGGAGGTGTGACAATGCTACTGTTATATATTATATTATGTTATTTAATGATCATTTATCACGTTTACAAAGTGAACATAAATTCAAAGTTTTATTTAGAACATTTTAATCGTAAATTTAAGTTTTCATAGTAATTATGTAATCGTATTTTAAGTTTATTTAGATATACAATAGCATGTGTCACCATATGCAAAACGAGTAGTTCAAACCAAAATTAATGTAATGAACATCATGAAAACCATCGTTTTGCAAATTACTTATTAATATCGAATTAAATAATAACAGTGTTTAACCTAAATAATAAATTAATGAATAAAAAAAAATGTTTTCGAATAATTCATTTCGTGAGCCGTAACGACTTTAATATCATATCGATATAATTAAGTTCTTTTTAAAAGAAATTTATACTCATAAATAACTTCCGATGATTAAATCAAAGAACGTTAAATTGTTCTTCTTACAGTTATTTACAAATACAAAATGTTTAAAACATAGTTCTTAGCAAACTGTATGTATCACACACAAGTATACGTAGCTAAACAGCAATCTTCTACAATTAGGTACTAATTATTGCTGTGAAAACTTCATCTACATTTATACCACCGAAAGAAAGGCTAGTTAGTTTACTTATGGGAAAAAGTTTACGTTCAATTATTATCCAATACATTATTGGAATAGATAGATATATTTTTTATTATTATATTAACTCGCTAAAGCAAAGTGGAGCAGGCAATTTTAGAATTTTGATTCAGTACGTAAACTTTTCTCCACAATAACACATTTTAAAATCTAAGATAAAACAATACGAGTAAAGATGGAAGACGCTCCTAAATACAGCAAAAATGTTATGTATTATCATCATTTATATATAACTTTTTAATTATTATATTACTATAATATCACTTAAGATCTATTCTATCTACGCGTAACATAATATTTTATAATAAATACACTCATTATTACTGGTATTATTTAAATCTGCTGGCCATGCCGTCACTATTGAGAAACAAAGTTACAGGCCTGCCGTTTAACTGAGACGGTTCCTGAGGTAGCTGCGCGGTGCGGGAGGAGTGACAGTTTACGTAACAGTTATGTCGCACTGTACACGGGATAAATTCAACAAGATTTTTCTGACAATATTCAATAACAAGTTCATTGAAAAAAGTGTCAAATCGTCGGGGACAATGCAATTACGCGCAATTAGCACTGGATTATGAGTTTTCATTTCAGTAGTTTTGTGGCCAAATTAAATCCGCTTAAACGTAGCGGCAACCAAGTAACAGTGATTTACGGGAGTCTATAGTTATGAGTCCGTAGACAACATAAATTAAAGCTTACTGTGCAAGAATGACATTCGTAGCCATTGAAATATATATATATATACAAAATACTTTGTAATAACGTTAAATCCCTCACCTGTAAAAGTTGGTTTATTTTACAGTAGATACTAGCTTTTACCAATACTACATACGCGTATTAGCATTATCCCCGACGAAATGGCTTGTCTCCATTGATTTCAATTATTAATAAACAGTTTTTTAAATTATCGTTTCACATAACAATTGACTAATTTGGTAGGCACTTTTTTCAATCAAATTGCTACTGAATATCGTCAGAAAAATCTTGTTGAAATTATTCCGTGTGCAACGCGACATAATTGTTACGTAAACTGTCACTCCTCCACCACGCAGCTCGGGAACCGATTCAGTTAAGTGGTAGGCCTGTGCAATAACAGACAAAAAAAAAAAACAAATGCAACAAACCATAATAAAAATAAAACCTTCTTTTTATGAAATAAAATTAAGTTATTGTTTTTAAAAAAGACGTTAGTGTTACAATTTAAAGTTAAGTAAGTCTAAATTTAATAACTCGGTATGCAAAAATTATGTATGTAAGGTTTTTAAGTTGGAAACTTCAGCGCCTCAGCAGTAACGGCACAATTAAATTGTAATATTTGGCACATAGCTAATAGCGACCTTTTCTTTGCCAAGAGTGAGCTGGTGCTCAATATTTAAGGAAAATAATACCACGAATAACATTTAACCCCTCGCCTGTAGCCATTGGCGCCAGGTAGAAAGATTGAGCAAAATAGTTAAAAAAACGATAGACCGATGCGAAGCTTAGATTATTCTAAAATCCAACATCTCACAATTATTATTACATTTATTATGACGATAAATAAATAATTTACACACCAAAACTGAACATATATTTTATCTATACAAAAAATGTAAAAGAAAACATTCATCTTCCATTTTTTTTTTTCACTAATAAATAATATTGCTTCATCACAAATCAGTCATTGCATCAGTCTAGTTAGTGCTTTACTAATATTATACTTCCCCGTGACATCAAATCGGTAACATAGTATTGACAGATAATGATTACGACAAAAGTAAACGTACTTATCACATGTGTTGGTGTATTCTTACTTATAGTTCTCTAGTTCTACCTTCAAGAACCGCACTTATGTTTTAAGAGAGAATAGAAGCATTAGGGACTCGCCACATTTATTCACAGTAAATCACTTTGAGTCGGTTAGAAAAACTTTTATGTCCGTGCAATAAGACGTAGCGCGTTTCACTTTGCCACTTACAATACTAGGAACAATAACAAACTGATAAGTACCAAAAACGAGATTGAAAAGAACTGCTAAGCAAGGTTACTGTCTAAAGATAAAATTATACAACGAACTACCACCGACTATATCCGAATTGCCCGAGTTAGAATTCAAAAGAAATATAAAAAAAATTTAATTGAAAGTCCATTCTATAAAGTTGACGACTATTTTGAAATATGCATTAAAAAAAATGCTTATTTTTTATAACATTTAATGCATCTATTGATAATTTATTACTTAAGCAGTTTATATCATAACAATATATTAAATAAACAACGCACACACTCAACATAGCCCCCGCACTAGGAAAACCCTGTGTCGCGGGTGCCATGGACATACACATAGACTACCACAAATTACACCCAAACTCACGAGAGAAATAAATGTAAGCCATACAAATATTTCTCCCAGCCCGGGAATCGAACCTGGGACCCCTGCGTGGCAGTCCGGCATGGAAACCGTTCGGCCACTGAGGCAGTTATTATTATTAATTTAATATTTTAATTGTGTGTGGACGCGCAAATAATTAAATTCAGTTATGTAATACATTAAAAGTTAGTAGTGAATGACTTTGATAAGATAAGAAATTTTGTACTATTGACGTGCTAAATGTTACGAGCTGGTGACGTGGCAAATAAAGAATTTGAATTTGGATCGCCGACACGAAACGCACAACGTCAAGTTTTCGCTCTTATCACATGGACATGAAAAAAATCTGAGCGGCTTAATCCGATTTTGTGTCGATGTGTGGTGATTCCCTTATGGTGTAGTGTTGCGTACATTTCTCAATTCGCCCGGTGTACGTATGGTCATCCTCTATATCAGAGAAAAACTAGAAACGTACGCAATGTCGATACCTAAGTAGGCACTTCATAGAAAACCGGTGACCATTGACTTGGTATATAGGTAACGTGACCATACATCCCGCTTTTAAGCTTCTTATCCCGCTGTCCTCAAAATACTTAACAATGTCCCGCTTTCACAAAACGGACACGTGACAATAAATTAAAAAAAAAAATGGCGCAAAAACGTAAAATATATAAAGCCAGCCTATATAAGTTTTTCGTTTTAGTTTTTTTTAATTCTTCATTAAAAATTTCGGAAGTTTAGTTTCGGAACACGCGTTTTATTTTTAAAACAATAATAATATCACAGGCATCCTGCTCTGACTGAAGAAAATAATGGTCACGTTACATATAGCGAAGTCATAAAACTGTGGATGCCGTTAATATCTTCACTAGGCACAAATTAGTATAGCGTAAGAGTCGACTTCGACAGCTAATATCTAACTTGGTAGGCCTTAGTGAGCGTATCACTGCTCCCTTGCTTCAAGTTATCACTAATTTATTAACCAGGTACCCCCCGATCAGCATTGTCACCCTTACAATTTCGTTATATCAGTACCACATGCCTATTTCTTGCTTCGTATTATCTCGTGAAAGCGGTATGGTGGTGTAATGGCGAGGCGGTGCTGATCGCACGCTGTGTGTATATATATAAGCGATAACCTTTATTTGCTTATTTATTTGCTACAAGATCACAGATGAGAAGTTGAGCAGAGAGGAAACTTAGCCATTATTTTTATCAATGTATAGGAGAATTAACAAGGATTTTCCTTATTGTACGCCATAGGCAATTGTTTAATTACTAAAATATAATTCAATACTAAGTACCTACACGTAAATATAATTTTCATCTAAGCTACCTCTCAAGCTCTTATGAAGTAAAATAGACTTTACACTTTTGTATATTTGGTGGCTTTTTACATGAAAAAACCTGTAGATGTCTACAGGGAATAGCTACTTGAAGTTAACGGAGAAATTATAACTATTTTTTTATAATTTAATTATTAAGAGAATTTCACTAAAATGCAGGCGAATGCCTTAAATAGCTAAACTTATTCGTGGCAGACTTTTAAATGTGAGATTTTTTGTACTGGTATTTAACTCGTAAATATAATCGTTGTTATAAATATATAATCTGGTGTCGATGTGTCGGGTATTGGGTGTGCTAAAACAATGCACACTTTAGCACAACGCCCCTAGCCAATTTTTTGCATGACCGCGGTGATATGTGCTGAAAGTGTCTTGGTACCATGCGGTTTATGGGTGGTGCCCCTTATTTTGATACTGTTAGTAGTGTTATTTTCTATAATTAATCCACATTCTGCCACATTATGATAAAATTCTTAATTTTAAATGTAAGAAATATACAATTCATTCATCTTAAGCTGTAGGCGATTATGAAGTAGATCATCTATGAACACAAAATACGGCTCGCTTATCCATAATTGTAATATACATACACTTATGTATCACGTTTGAAATTTCCAATATAATAAGTTTAATAAGATACAATAGCCCTATATATAGGATTCTATATATTATTTTACCTCTCAGATCGTATATACATAAATATTGCATGTGTTAAATTCTATATTGTTCAGTTTAGTATATAAACATTTTTCAGGGCAACAGCAAGTTCAAAACTTAGCACGAAATAATCACACGGTTAAAAGAAAAGCCCAATTGTCCGGTCGAGACTTTCTCTAATAGATAAATCTGGTCAATAGTGTCTGGTCTGTTATCGGCCAGTCATATACAGGGTGGCTTTTTTTTATCAATAGCCAAATTTTTCTACACATTAGGTATAGGTCATTCAAAGTATTTCCCCAAAATAATAAATCGATAATGTATGGTTACCTAGTCAAAAACACCATGCTAGTCTTGCCGAGGAATGAAAGTACACACCCGGGTGAAGAGTTACTTTTAAAATCCAGAGATCGATCCGAGCAGAAAGTGTTCCAAGCCTTCACAATCTGGGAGTCAAAACCCCAAGGACACTCAATAGTGTCACATCCTGTATAGCGACCGGCGTCAAAAAAGATCACAACACATGAGATGCATTTAATTATGCGTGACCGTGGTTCGTGTGTGCAAGCCGTCATTAAGTGGATAAATTTTCCTTCAATCGTTAACGAAAATAGCACACAAAACAATTGCCTGGGCAATTTTTTTATCGAGTGAATTAAGAACAGCCTTTGTTTCAAAGTTAGTGACACAATTGATTTTGCCACTAATCTAAAAAATGTAAGTAATATACAATCATCCTCGAAAAGCTTTTCATAAAACCGTTGCATACTTAAAGTAATTCAGCTAAAATTAAAAATAAAACCATAACAACCATAGAGAAAGCGAAATTAATATACATACGTACTTAACATAATTATAACTTAAATCTTACAGTGACCCAGGGTTTTCGTTGTTGCTTACATGCCGTTTCTCTCCTGACTGTCATAGCTAGAAATCGGCAAATTTTCACATCTTGACGTCATCGGATACAATAAGACAATTTTAGGCCAATTTTAAACTATAAACATTGATGTAACAGTTAAATTGTTAGAACTCAGTGTCAAATAGAACTTGGAACTTTACCCGGAATTGAACCTTATTACCCCGAATTGATATCGGATATGATGATCCACCGAAGACGAGGCTTAAGGTCTATAAAATATAATGGATTGAATTTTACTTAGTGTATGTCCGTCTAAGTAGCAAAAAAAAATTACCAAGGCTCTATGGTTTTAAACGTTTAACGGAAAAAATTAAAAAAATAACAATAGGAACAATGTTGGGCAAAAAATAGATTCTCATTTTGTTTCATAAATGAAATGCTAGTACATATCATATTTTACAGGTAAAACTGAGGACTAGTCTTAACCGATGACGCCATGTTTTATACTAAACATATAGGAAATACACTTTTAAGTATATCATGTCAAGTTCGTTCTAGTAATGAGTTATATTTACATATAAAAAATGAATGCTGAGTATGATCGTACGTCTATCGACAAAAATGGCAAATGCAGCAGATACTTGAGGAGAGAGACGACACTTGAAAGTAACAACAAGAAATATTTTATTGCCAATCTCTACAAACACAAGTTTGATTAAATAACCGATTTTTAGATGAGCAAATTTATAGATAGATATCTTTAATTTATGGATCCAGAATATCTTTGTAATTTAATCGATCTCAAAGCCGAAATATTTCACTTATTCATGGGCCAAACCGTACTTAAAATATGCGTTCTATTTCTACGTTCCGGATTTATAAAACCTTTGACTTTATATGTCGGGAAAAAAAATGATGGCGTTGAAACATGGTGCCATCTTTATATAATAATAAAATTATAAATATCTTATTTACTTTCTTTTCTTATCATAATGATTGACTATTTTCGAACATGGGATCTAAATGCATTTAGGGACACTATATACCATTGTTTAAAATAATATTTCGTACTATGTAGTATCACATCTATCACTATGAGTTTCTACGGTGTTTTGAAAAGGGTTTCGAATATACAGTCCAATAGAGTTCATTTTTAAATGTGTACAAAAATATTTTGATTTGTTTGCCATTTTAAAGCCTAGTTATTAGGAACTCGACCCGTTTGGTAATGATAGGTATAGGTCTTATGAATTTCTCAGGCTCTTTTAAATTTCTTTTAGTATAGTACAATGGATCAATCACGATCGTACATCGTGTACAAGGTTCGTTTGACCAATCACGTTTCCTTATTTAAACAAGACGGTGTTCAAAGTCTGCAAGTGGCCCAATCAAGTTCCCTTGAAAGAAAAAAAAAAATTGAACCAATCACCAACGTCCAAACAAATGAAGGTTTTCATAACTTTGTGTGTTGCCTATTGGTCGGTATATTCGATAAAGAGGTATACAGGAAAGAACAAAGCTATTGCAATGTGATGTCATCTTGTAAGTGAACCCAAAGGGGAATAGTTCTAATTATAGTAAGTGAGCATTCTACTTAAGCATAGCATGATATATTGTTTAATGTATTTAACCGTGTATGTATACGAAATACGGGTGTCTTTATTGGACTAGAGTATGGTAAACATTTTTGTCTATTCGTAGTTGCGACTTTAGACATAATAGAAAATTTTAACAAACTTAGTATTTTTTGTTCTTAGAACTTAATTGCTGATTTTTACGACGCTTTTAAGCTAAAGTTCTGAACGCATTGCAGGGTAACATCACTTGGTGCGATATTAATTATAAATTCAATATGGCCGCCGCCGCGAGATGGCGGTACATATTATTATATTTTTTAGACAATACCACCCCGGGGATCGGTTACTAAAATACAATAATTGTTAAGTTTTTAAAACTCTTTTCTAGGACCATGTCCCGAGAAATTGATGTTTTTCTTTGACGAAAGCAGTTCGACATCAAACTAAAACTAAACGGGTCAGCAAGTTTCGAACAATCGTACGGACGCGGTCGTCGCAAACGAAACCTTAGAGATAGCGGACCACTGGAGCGGTCGCGGAAGAGACGTGTGACGGTAAGGTAGTCGCGGCCCGGCCGGGCGCGGAGGCCTCAGCGCAGGCGCGCGAAGGCGGCGACGCGCAGGCGCGCGCGGCGCTAGCTGGGCGCCGGCTGCTCGGCGCGCGCGTCGCGCGGCCCCACGCCGGCCAGCTTCAGCAGAGCCTCGGCCGTGCGCCGCTCCTCGCCGCTGCCGCTGTACGAGTGCTCGTCGCGCGCGCAGCGGGAGATCACCAGGTGCGCGGCCGGCGGCAGCTGTTCGAACAACCAAAGGGGTGGTTTGGTGGCCTGTGTGTGGTGGAAGACTGCGCACGGACCGATCTGGGGTCAGAACTGGACCTCGAAGGTCCCTGCGCTTGCGGAGGCTAAGGATGCACGACTTTTAAAATCATGTACCTTTGAATCGATCCACAGACCGGATCGTATGCTCTTGATATAAAAAAAGTAGACAGCCTTTTTGGCTTCAGTCGATTACGACTTCCATTTATAGTGATACTAGCCAGTGAGAAAACACGGAACTAGCCTCAATCGCCAAATATTGTAAACCTATTTTACCATGATATTACCAAATTGCTTTCTTTAAAAAGAAAAAGTTTTGTTAAAATTATGAATACGATCTAGACGAGTCGATTCGCCTTAATGTTGAATCGATTTACTTAAAAACTTTCAAAAAACCGCTAGATCGTATATAAGATAACTATAATCAACACTTATGCAAACAGGAAAGGAGGTGTTCAAGGAGCAAGTAATAAGATGCATCACTAACGTGTGTCTTGTGTTGAATACAATACAAGCAACTGCCAACTATACTCCGCCCAACCATCTATTTAACTTTTGACACTTAAAACTCTAATCAATTAGTGATGTCCTAATGCGTTTCCGATTCGATTTTTTGCAACAATCAATTTTATTTATGAAGAAGTTATAATCGTGAATGTGAGCGGGTTCAAAAAAGAAGATATTGTCTGATTGGGATCGTGATGTTGCGTTTGACAGTTTGTGTACTCAACAATTAATAATTAATATCAATGAGGATTCAAGTGATAATTCCCGTTCTCCTCATGGAGAAGACTCCGACGATTCATTATAATAAACAATAAGAATTTATTATAATTATTCATAATTGATTTCATCATAATTTATAAGACAGGTACCAAAATTTATCAATTTGAATAATCTTCGTTACATAATCTGTTTGCTTAATACGCATCGGAGCTAAAGAGAACGTCGCTTGACTAAAATTAAAAAATAAAAGAGTCCAGGGAGTATCGCATATTTTGTCTATGGTTGTATGTCAATCATTACGGAACTTCGGAGGTATGCATATGTCAAAAGTTGAATAAATGGTTGGACGGAGTATAGAAGCGAATATTGTGTTTTCATATGACTGCGGTTGCGGCAACCGGCGCCTATGTCGATTTCATATCACTTATATGAAAATAGAATATTCGCTCCTAGTTGCCGGTTGCTTGTATACAATACAAGTCATATTTGCGTGGCGCCTAAGTAGTGTAATCGTCGCGTTCGGTACGCACGCGGATCGTGTATTTTATGACAAGAGTTTATTATTATAGTATTATGTTAATAACTCTTACTTAATAGATTGAATCATGTAAATAGAACCTTGGGTAACACAAAATTACAAATTTAGTTAGGTATGTATAATTTAAAAAATAAAATTTCTGACCAGCTTCGAAAAGTGATATCTTGTAAAATATTTAATCGAATAAGCAACTTGCCTCTGTGGCCGAACGTTTACCATGCTGGTCTGTCACGCAGAAGTTCTGGGTTCGATTCCCGGATAAGAGAAATATTTGTATGGTCTACCTTTATTTCTCTCATGAGTTTGGTTTGGGTGCAATTTTTGGTTGTCTATGTGTGTGTCTGTGGCATCCGCGATACAGAGTTTCCCTAGTGCGATGCCATGAGTGTGTGTGTTTAAAAAAATCCTTAGAATTGTTTACTGCGAATGTCAAGTAATGATCAAATAATAGGCATTGCTTTCGAATTGTTTAGCTACCAAAATGTAGATGACCTTAGATTGTGCATGCCAATATCGGTAAAACATGAGGACATATAAATGTACACGATACTAAAAATGAATTACTGTGAAATGTACATGGACCCTTAGAAAAGATCTGGTCGTAAACTTATAAAAATGCCTATTTCCGATAGCAATAAATCGACAGTGGAAATTTGAAATGTCGTAAAGAATATTTTGTCGTAATGGAAAAGGTTCCTTACGACATTACAAAATTCGATACATCGACGAAATGATTACCCTTGTATCGACAGTGCAAATTTGAAATGTCCTAAGAGGCATTTTGTGCAAATGTCCCTTACGACTTTTCAAATTTCCACCATCGAAATATTTTCTAAAAAAGGTGGAGATCGTTCGCAATTGAAGGTATTTCCAACTGGCTCGCACTATCACATGGTGTACAAAATAAAAAGCGTGAGGTACCTGATCGAGTACTGCCGGGCCGTACTTCATGGCGAGCACAGTGGCGGCGGCCAGATATTCGTCGGCGCCGGGTTCCGGGGGCGGCGATCCGGCCAGGCGCCGCGCCAGGAACGGGAACAGAGACGGGTCCGGCGCGTTCTTCGCCGGTGGCGGTGTGTCGGGAGGCAGCGGTGGGATCGGCTGTCGCCCGAACGCCTGGCGTACAGACACGATCGATACAGTCACGCATTCTCATGCGTCAAAATTCATTCCAAGTTCAAATTGGCTTCTCGTCCACGGTACATTTCGTTCTAAATTCGAATGGAGCAATCGTATGGCTTTATTCGAAACTCAAACTGACCACTTGCATAGGCGTTATGACTATTACTTATACCATTTTTAACGGCAAAACAATGATAATGCCAAACATATTTATCAAATATATCTACAATACGATAATGTTCAAGGAATTCGTTATAGCTTTGATATTATAATCTCAAGATCTCGCAATGTCAAATTCTGCTGTTACTCGCCACAACAGGTTCTACGGCACGCGATTCGATGGGAAGTATTGTAAAACTTCAAGTGACACTTAGATATTATACAAGGTGTTTTTATGGTCTTCGAGTACAATCCACCTAATGGAAAATGATAATCGCCGCTTGTGGATGTGGAAATGGGCATATTTGGGCATATCTTTATATAATAATAATGTGCCAGACGGCCACACCACATGGTCTCCAACTATGGAAACCACTGCAATATGAATACCTGAGCAACGGATTTTACTCAGATATGCTTCCCAGAATATCCAGGACAAACCTATTTAAAAAAAAGTTCATTCCAAATTCATCCTACTGGGAATCAAAATTGAAACCTCCTAGTCTGCGTCTCACAAGGCAAAATCGTTGGCTCACCAAGGTCATCAATGTCTCCAGTGTTCGTTAAATGAACCAATTGAAACGGGCCCAGTATACTAGTCCCACGTATACTGGCTAATATTTACGGGGCACCATGTATAATTAGTAAATGTCATACCTGTAATAACGTAGACCGATGTTGAGGATCCACGGTCCATAGAGAACCCTTGCCCAGGCCGGGAGCGGCAGCAACCTGTAACATTAGCAGGTAAATGTTAATAACTCATCGACTATACTTATTGACACGGAATTCAGAAAGTTTTGTGTCCATATAAAATAAGAGCGAAAAGTATTAATGCAATAAATTATAGTAAAAATAAAAACTAACCTTATGAAAGCACTTGTTCAATGACAAATTATGTCTAACGCTGTTCTTCCAGCCCTGTGGCGCGTGCTTGAAGTATGGGAAGTGGCGGACGATCCAGGCGTATATCTCTTTGACAGGCAACGCCCTCGCCGGCGCGGCTTCGATGGCCATGAAGATCAGGCAGGAGAAGGAGTAAGGTGGCTTCGTGTGTGTGGCGACAGCCGGTGGGGAAGGAGGAGCTTTGCACGGGGTGCGGGGAGGGGATGGAACTCGAGCGACTGGTGGTGGCGTTTTTGATGTCTCTGTCTGTGGACAAGATGTCAAACGTGGTGAATTATATAAATGGTTAGCCTACATTATAGTCCCTCTACTGTGCACAGCGAGTTTAGCAGAATATCCACGGGGGGGATTAGGGAAATTCACACACATATTTAAATTGCTTTGCAGATGTGTGCACGTGCGTATACGTATCCGCACGATGTTGGTATTCATCAAAAAGTCATGGTAAATTTCAAATTAAATTTGGCATATACATTTTGAAAAACTCACGAGGTACAAGGTCGGATTCGAACCTACTGCCCTTTGTTGGAGAGGCGGTCAACGTCAAACCATTAGTCTATCATTAATAAAAAAATTATAACGGATGGCAAATCGGAGATGTAATTCATATGCAACATATTTGTTACGCTATTTTACCACATTCATACCGGTTACGTGCTACAATTTGCATTCGATAAAAACGCAGCCCCTGCCGAAGTAATACCGCTTCTTAAGTCAAATTGTACAGTAGCATGATGATTTTAATAATGCCCGTTAGACACTACGTGGCGCTCGTGCGCATGAAATCGTAATCCGTTTTTATTATCACATTAGGAAACATCACGAAGTAATCTGTTACGATAAGCATAGTTACGGTTATAAAAACATTTACGTTAGAGAGTGTTTAAAACTCTTCCCAATTAGATATTTTGTACCTCGTATTATAATATACATATTGGATCTAATTAATCGGCGAATAATTTAAACGACGTTACAGTGATTTGGGTTAACGTTTCCCGTTAGACACATAAAATATGAAATGACTGGCTTCCTCATGTAAGAACGGTAGTGCCCCAATCGTTGTCGATATTCAGACGAAACTACACTAATAAAAACCAGGAGGACTGAATTCGAAGACCTATTAGTATGATGACATTAAGTCCTAAAAAGTAGAATAAAATTAGCAACCATACAGCCATACCAATTACCTGAGGCCTTACCATAAACTCTTATTACAGTTTAGTATAGGTTCGCAACGACAAAAAAGCAGGATGGTGATATACATGTCACGATGCGACATCTTTCCATCGTCAATACACCTTTTTATCACCTTTTCGCTGGTTCCTGGCCACTTGTTTTCAAATTTTAAATCGTTCTTTAATTCCTTTGCTTTGTCATTCTCATTTTGTTTCGTTCCGTCGACACACAGAGTGTGTCGCTTAATAGCTGATGAAAAGAAAACTTTAAAATATTTTTTATAAACTCGGATTTATTCCCACCATTACTTTTCCTTTTGAATTTTGAACTTTAAACTCGCTAAGCAAGATGTGTGGAGGCTACTACGCTCTCCAGGCTATATTACAATCAACAGGATATGCTTAAGTGGTGCCAGCAGTGCGTGACACGCGCTTCGTACGCTTCATGTAGCGCTGACTCACAACGATTAATTTTATATACTAAACTAATAACCGTAATAAGAGTTAATTCCCTGGTCCTATCAGTGTTAGAGCAACGCAATTAACTCGGGGCACGAAAAACATCCTAGCCAGAACCAATTTCAAAAAAGATCCCAATATGGTCCATCGAGAATTCGAACCTTCTTTTCATCAGTAAAAAAAGAGTATAGCTGAATTGAACAAAAATAATTTGGAAAAAAAAAAAAAAAAAAAAAAAAAAAAGAATATGACGGGACGAACAAGTCGTGGGCCTAGTGGTAAGCGACACGCCTGTCTAAAAACAGTTGCAAAGCCACTCAGAGCTTTAAAACCCAAAGATGTGGGGGGTACTGCAATTGCGCCCGAAAAACTTGAAGTACCATGTGCCTGTAATTTCACCAGCACCCCTTATCCTTCCAAACCGGAACGCAGTAATGCTCATATTACCCTTGGCAGAAATAGGTAAGATGGCAGTATTGCCCAAGACGAACCATTTCACTACGAGCTCTACTTCTACAAAAATACTAAACTACCAAGTCACCGGAGAAAAAGTGGGAAAAACTGCTTTGCTATATCAAATAATTTAAGTATTTATCATTAAATAACGGTCTTATGAAAAATATACGATACACCTAAGGATATTGTCTAAAGAATGTGCTAATGTGTTACACGATAGGATGTACTTTACCCGATCATATAGAATCCTAAAAACAGGATTAAATAAAAGTAAAACAAACTATTTAAGAATAAAATACCTAACTTCGCATACAATATTTTTATATGGAGATATTTCTGTTTAAGTATTACAGAAAACCCGCAAAATTTTCGTTTTTACTACCATATACCATATAATAATAATAACGCACACACTCAACTTAGCCCCGCACTAAGGAAACCCTGTGTCGCGGGTACCATGGATACATACATACACAACCATAAATTACACCTAAAATAGATAAATAAATGTAGGCTATACAAATATTTCTCCCTGCCCGGAAATCGAACCTGTGACCTCTGCGTGGCAGTCCGGCATGGAAACCGTTCGACCATGGAGGCAGTTACTGAAATCCTATTAGTTATTAAATTCACATTTATCACAAATTATTTGCAAATTACCCCGTGCCGCCCCGCCCATTGTCCCGTCAGTCGCCATGAGGCGTTTGTCGATGTCGGATCTGTGTCAAATTTTCTCCGTCTGTTCTTATTTTATTCATATTAATTTACAGCGCGCAGATTGCGGGACGCGAGGGGCGACCCCCACACCTCGCCTCCTAAAAACTGGACTCCGTTGAAATACCTCCTTAGGTTACATTATGATTGTAGCTCAAACGTGATAATGGTTATAATACTAATTTCAATTAGGGAAGTTCGCATTAACACCATACAGGGCAGCCGCAAACAAAACATTTGTATAGCTCTGTGACGTGATTAATCGTTTACTACCGACACTTGTTCAAATAAAATTATACACAGCGACATACATATTACATTTTTACACATTATTGCTGCGTGTTACGACAATGCCAAGGTGCACCACGATATAGGAAGTTAATAATTTACGGTGCATTAACGCCATGACTCATAAAGTTACTGCGTTACGTTTACGCTTATGAATAAACTTAAAACCCGTGCTAATCTTAACCTGCTCAATAAGCGACATTTCCAAAAAAAAATATTTCTGGGGATCTGGTTTTAAGTTCTTGCGACTGTTTTAAATTAACTTTATTTAACTTAATTAAATTATAAATTAAATTAAAAAAAAAGCCGAACACAAAAGTCACTCATCCCCTAGTTTGCCACTCTTAAGAGGTGGAATACCTTCAAATTTAAAAGGGACCACTAGGTATCCCCTTTCCAACAAAAAAAAGAATCATCAAAATCGTTTCGCAAATGGAGTTATCGCGTAACATACATAAAAAACATCGAATTGAGAACCTCCTCCTTTTTTGAAGTCGGTTAATTATTAAACTTAAAATTACACAATAATTAGTTCCGCAGACTATCTTTCTTCACCAAAGCTAGGGTTGACTATGGGTTGGTTGGAGAGAGCTTTTCTAGAGATAAGCTTAAATTTGTATGTCCTTTGTAACATGTGTTTTAAATGCATTTTCTTTGTGCAATAAGTTTTAAGCGAAAGTGCACTTTAAACTCATTGCAACATGACTTACATTTCTGGACATTTTGATGGTAGTTTCACGTTCCAGTGAACAAAGGTCTCTTAAACATTGAGTACAAGCACAGTCTTTGGAAATGGTGCATATTGCTTCACCTAGATAACAGTTGAAAGTAAGAGCTAAAATCTTACCTTTACTATAACTTGACTTCCCACTAATCTTGAGTCTTCCATATCCCCTTTTGAAAGATTTATACCTGTAAGAATAAAAAATATATATCAATATAAGTAATATAAATATAAAAAATGTCTAATATAATCAGCTTTTAATATTTTCTGCGCTAATTGGGACAAATAACGTATTTTTAAATATCGTATATGAACTAAAATACTGTCCTTAATAAAAAATGGTGGAATTGAGAAAACAGGATTTGGAACTTCAAATTCCATCATAATTTTCTTGAGGTAAGTTATTGTGCCAACACAGGCAAAAATTTCTGAAGTATTATGGTGGCACTTCAGAAGGTCATTTGTGTTTGCGTATTTGACATATTTGGTAAACAATCACCATGTGTGATAAAGTATTTGTCTTGTTTGCCTATTCCACGAAAAAAACTGCAAACACAAGTTACCGCACGCTGGTTGGATTCGCGATGCAGGAAACCCAGTATGCCGTAGGCCTAAGTATTTCCTTTGATGAAAAATCTCAAACAGATATGGACTGCAGTACTAATTAATATGTCATAATTTGTTCTAATTTCCATTATTAACTAGCAATAAATTTAATTTCATAAAAAAATCATGTTATTAAAATAAAATAATTGTAAAACATATGTAGCGTAAACTGGAATGTTCCTTGTAAAATTTAAAAATAAGGTAACTTTTGTAACTATAGTGAAAAATAAGGTGGTTTGCATTAATATTAGACATAACTGGTTGAGGACTTTACCACCTCAGTCAACCGTGACCATGGGACCTGTAAAGGGCCGAAACGTTGGTATGTTTGAAAAAACAAATTTACGCCATTTAAATCCGGAAAAAATAGTGTCATTTCCTAAAAAGCTAAGTTTTTTTAGTGGCATTACAACGTTAAAAGCCTAGCCTTATAGTACGAGTAATAAATAAAAATAATGATGTACATAATATGTTTTTTGTTTTCTTTCTTTGCTACTAATATATTTTGTGTTATTATGATTTTATAAATCGCGCCTTGAATTTGTTAAGCACTAATTACACTTTAATAACAGCTATACCAGTAAATAGGCCTGAAGTATATTAAAATGCGTAAAATATAGGATATTTTTGTTGTTACCAAGTCTATATCTTAATTAAGTTAACGTTTAAATTGTAGATAAAAATATTGGTCTACGACAACATTCATAATAAAAAATAACAATTTGTTTTGCTGCTCTGTACAATCTATGAAATAATATTGTAAATGATGATCGTCAAACAAAAAATTAAAATACACAATAATAATAAAATTAAATATTCTTGAATAATAAAATTAAATATTGTTGCAACAAAATGTTGTTCTCCAACAAGGATCGTCAAAGTTCATAATCAATACAGGACTCAAAGAAATAGCAGCAAATACATTTTGTTCTTCGGAATAATTTTTATTTCCCACACTTGAAGTGTTAATGTTTATAAAAAACTATAGGTGCCGGAATGTACCTTTGCTCAAAAGATAATGAAAAAAAAAAACGCCTTCGCCAATTTCTTTATGGGTATTTAACTGAAAATGCTTTAACCCAATACGTCAGCTTCCCTTCGCCATTGCCGAAGACTTTCTGGTGAAAACAGCTTACCTCTAAGTAGATTTCTGTCCTGTAACCAGCTCAGACTGGTGAGGTCGTCATCATGGTCTGCCGGTGGTAGGTTACCCGCGTTGCCCCCGATCGCCACTCTGTTAAAAATGTATGCAAAAATGAATATTACATAGTACGTGAATGCTTAGGCGCTTCGCAAACTCCATCACAGGAAACTGTGGTTGCTGTGTCCGGTAACGCCGACGATACAGTCGTCGGTTGCTACTTCTGAACACTGGTTCAGTACTTGAATTTCCGAGTGTTACGTCAGTGTCACGATGGTTGTCGATGAATAAATTAATTTTTCTTGTTGTACTGATTACAAGTCAATATTTACAGCCAAATCAACCACGCCAGCAGCAGTTTTAAGTTGCTTACATGGGCCACTTTTTGGACTACAATAGTTTAAACTAAAGAATCTACGAGAAAAACAATGGGGATCAGGTGATGGGAGATGGTAGCAGTAGAGCTCTTTCTGATTGCCACATTACCAATTTCTGCCGCCAAGCATTAATGTGAGCATCACTGCGATCAATGCGACTTAAAGCTCTCAGTGGCACTGCAACTGTTATGGACAGGCGTACCTATCGCTTACTACAAGGCTCACGACGTCAAGGCCTCGGCGCGAGTCAAGGGCCATTAATGTTTGAGACTAGTGCAAGATTGTGGTGAATGGTACAAATTACAGGTGTAGGGTGCAGTCGGGGTGTAGATGTTATGACGATGACTTAGGTGTACTACATTAAATCACCCTCAAAAGTTTATGAAAGTTACCGAACGTCCTATCGTTTACAAAGCACGAATTTAACACGGAAATCGCTAATTATTTTAAATAAAGTCTGGATTTTGGTCAATTTTATTAATTTATTTTAATGCAAGACTAATGCATTCCTGAATTTTTTTATTATAGTCTATTTCACCGATTAACTCCGTAAACGCTGATGGATAACGATATCGCATCCGAATCCGAACTGAACGTTTATAACTCGCATGTTCGGAATAGCTCGGAAAGCACCCTTCGATTCGAAAACGATATCCAATCGAACGATTCGGTTAAAATATTGAAGAGTTCTGAAACAGGCCGTAAACCGAAAAAGCAGCTCAACTGTTGTTTTTAACACTATAATTTTGATAAACTTCCAATACTCGAAGTTCACACGGAAATCTACGCAAACAAAGGCGCGAAAATTTCATTCACTATAGTTTTGAACCTCGTAAATAGAAAGTTTCGAATTTCAAACCTTATTATAGAATGTAGTTTGTGTATAATGTGTTCATTATTATCTAGAGTGACATGTAATACATCGAGAATTTCTTCCTAGTAACCTAGTGTGCGATAAGTGGATAAACTATCACGGTATGCCGCCGAGAATCTTGGCAGTGATTGATAGGCCTGTTCACCGTTTTTGGAGAATGCAAATTTAGCACATTAACTGATCCCCATAACGTATTTCTTACTAAACTATGAAATGTTTTCATATAAACTTCTCAAGCGAAGCAAATCGAAAGATTACAAAAATTGAGTTTAATTTTGTCGTTTAACGACTTTTGAAAGATCAATAATGGATTACATCATCATCGTCAACTTATTACATTTTCACTGCTGGGCACGGTTCTCCTCTAAGGAAAAACCTTAGAGGTTTTCGTCTGCCCTCTCTCTGCCCTTGGAGGAGAGAGGGCAGACGAAAGAGGAGAGAGGAGACAGGAGAGATGAGAGAGGAGAGATGAGAGAGGAGAGATGAGAGAGGAGAGTGGAGAGATGAGAGTGGAGAGATGAGAGAGGAGAGATGAGAGAGGAGAGAGGAGTAGAGGAGAGAGGAGAGAGAGGAGAGAGGAGAGAGGAGAGAGGAGGTATGTACATGCCGCCGCAGGGAGTTGAACCAACTACTTCTCAAGAAGAAGAAGCAATTGTAATTTTTAAGTTATTGAACGTCACGATATTTAACGACGCTATTCAAACTAAGCAAGAGAAGCAAAATTGTTCTCCCACTAGGATACCAACGCATTTTATTATACCAATACTCTTGTAAAACAAGTCTTTCGACTTTACGGGCCTGAACATTTGTTTTGTGTATATTTTCAATTCTAAGGTACTATTTACACAATGACAGCACATGCGTGTGTGCGGTCTACATTAACAGGGTGCTATCACGCCGCTCCCGGTAGTTCTGTGAATGAGTCTGCGTGATTTCATACAAACCAAAACAGTGATTTTGCCACGCCCGCGCTGGTGAGCGATAACTATAGCTATGTTACCTAAAGATTAGGAATACTCACGCAGGTTGTGGCGTTTCCAGGTCAGATTCGTCGGATCCGTCTTCAATATCATCGAAGTTGTCGATGACACGGCCTGAGACCTCTAGTCTGCGAAGCGAGCGACCGCTGGAGGCGACGTGTCTTGCAATCTGTCGAATCAACCGCCTGGGTAGGGGGAGGGAAGCCCGTGCTGCCCTCGCGGGGGACCCGCCGCGCTCGCTGCGCATCGGGGCCATCTGTTGACAAAATACAACAACCTTCAACTAGAGTTGTTTGCCGAGTTCATTTCTCAAGGGACCAGTAAACGACTGCTGAGTTTCTTTCAATAGGTTCGTATTTAACCGCCTCCATGGCCGAACGGTTACTATACCTAGACTGCCACGATTTTCGATTCCCGGGGCGAAAAAAACTTTGTTAGAGTAGCGACACGCTTACCTATAACAGTTCAGTGTTGCTCAAAGCTTTAAATTGCAAAAATCTGAGGGACACTGCCACCGCGACAGTCACCCTGCGACATAAATAAGTTGACAAATCTCATGTGCCTGTAATTTCACCAGCACCCTTACCATTCAAAACCGGAATACAGCAATGCTTAACATTATTGTTTGGTGGCAGAAACAGGTAACATGGCAGTACACCCAGGACGAATTCTTTCACGGCGTTGGTTTGTTAATCGACTTCAAAAAAAGGAGAAGGTTCTTAATTTGGCTGTTTTTTTTTACATGCGATCCGACATTTGTGAACCGATTTCGATGATTTTTTTTTTATTGGAAAGGTGATACCTACGTAGTAGTCCCATTTAAGTTTGAAGAAAATATACCATCTCTAAGGGTGGCAAATTAGGGGATGATTCCGGTTTATTGGATTTTACTCACTTTCCGCTAACCGATTTCATGAGGTAAGTTTTTTTATAAAAAAAATTATTATTTGTCATGATTTTTCGTTTTTTTTTTTTCATTTCTTTTTATAGCATCAAGTGACGGGACGAACAAATCGTGCGACTGATGGTAAGCTACACGCCTGTCCATAACAGTGGCAGTGCTTTAAATCGCAAAGATCTGAGGGGCACTGCCACTGCGCCCATCACCCTGAGACGTAAGTTGACAAGTCCCATGCGCCTGTAATTTAACGAGTTAGTAATAGAAACTAGTTTAAAATTCCGAAATAAGACGTGGGATCAATTTTCAGGTTTGAGACGTAAAAAGACGTCGGAACACACCTCAGATTTCTAGACAATCAATCTATTTTTGCGAAATAAGTATAACTATGTCAAAAGAACAACATTATCTCACATGTATTGCTACTAGGCAATAATAACTCGCGACCTTGGCATAGTAACACCGAGCGTGGTCACAACTGATTATACGATTTGCCGAATTATTTACGCTGCTACCAGGGCAATTTCGACTTTGTTACAATACAGTTTTCAGTCAGTTGTTCAGTAAAAATTTTCGATAGTCATCGTGGAATTTTGGTTAAATATTTGTTCGCGTGTGTACGTCGCCCGGCTCTTGTAACATTGTAATGACTGACAAAAATGTGATTATTGAACGGTTTTAGGTTGTTAATGTTTCGACAAAGACTCCTAAATCCTAACAATGGTCTTTACGTCTATTTTTAAGGATTTGGTCTAGAACATAGTTGCCCAAAGTGAAATTAAAGAAGAGTCCTAGTAGGGGCCTCGGAAGCAATTGACTGCTGTTGATGCTGTCCAGGGGGTGCTACCACAATTGAAAAAAAAAACCTGAATTATCTATAGATAATTCAGGTTTTTTTTTTCAATAAACTACACTCAAACTTTCTTTTTGTCCGTAATTTTTTTGTGTTAGGTTAATATAAAAAAACGTATTTTAAATTATTTTTTGTGGAGATTGGAGATGGCGTTGAAATTTTTTTATCTTGAGTTAGTGGGCGGTGAGCATTGACTTACAATTATATGGACGTCGGGTCCGCGCTAAAAAGTGTCCGCACTTGTAAGGCGCTAAAATCGTATACAGAGCGCGACACTCCGCTTTAGTCTTCATTTGTTCTACGGACAGCGCGATACTGCGATGACATTACAATTTAAATTTCGAATAGGTTGACTTGGGACATTTTTTTCATGGTTTTTGTATTAGACCCGTCGTCCATTTATTTGTAAGTCAATGGCGGTGAGCTTAAAAGTTTGGGGGACTTATGGTCTAGAAGCTTCTAGCAACATCTGATATATCGTCCCCTTAAGCGCGAATGAATGTAACTTAGAGTTTAGTTAAGACCTAACAAGTTACTCTAATTACTGCATACATCGATTTAGAATTTGTAAGATGTGTCCAAGTAATAAATTGCTGTAAATATTGTAAGTTAATGCAAGCACTTTCCGTTCAATACCTATTAGTTCTATTACTAAGTTCAAGACAAGTCTCATAGGGTCGTATTCCAGAACTTTACTCAGTGCTCAAGTCAGGACTTGAGCAGACTTGAGTATGATTTCAAGCACTGGAAATACGACCCTAATGGCAAGGACTTGAGTATGATTTTCAGTGCATTAAATCATACTCAAGTCCTGACTTGAGCATTGAGTAGGGTTCTGGAATACCACCCCCAGACTAGACGATGGGAATCGTGATGTTATACGGTGCTTCTTAAGTAGGCATTTTTCCTTTTTTTTAACTGACTTAAAAAAAGGAGGAGATTCTCATTTCGACAGTATTTTTTTTGTATGTATGTTACGCGATAACTCGGCATTTGTGAACCGATTTCGATGATTTTTTTTTTTTTGTAAATTTGAAGGAAATATTTCACCTCTAAGGGTGGCAAACTAGGGGATGAATCCGGTTCGCGCAATTTCCAGTAACCGATATCAATAAAACTTGGCAAATAGATGTAATTGTGGAATTACATCTATTTGCTTTTGAGGTCGTCTTTTTTTAATAAAAAAGTTATTTATTTGTGATATCAAGTAATGGGACGAACAAGTTGTGCGCCTGGTTGTAAGCGACACGCCTATCCATAACAGTATCAGCGTCTCAAAGCTTTAAATCGCAAAGATCTAAGGAGCACGATCACTGCGCCCGTCATTCTGAGACGTAAAATTGACGTCAGAAACGAGTATAGGGGCAGTACTTCCCGGGATGAAGTTTTAATATGGAACTCCACTTCTACAATTAAGTAGTAAGCTTCAAAACGAACATTAAATCTCAATTAACAGACGTTCTATTAATAAATATACAAGGTGTGTAATAATCAGAAATGCCCACAAGTAGCACATAATGACTTGCATAAATATTCGTGATCATAAGATGACGTTTGTATATTTTAAACGTAATTTACGCAGTTCATTTCAAGGTGCTTCATCTAACGTAATAGTTAATCAACTAATTACATCTGAAATAAAACGTTAACGTTAACCAATTTGATTTTGAAATTTAGTACCACGAATATTTAGGTATATTATGACAACACTGTTATGGGAAAAACACGAATAAACATAACCCGTTTAGGAAGTTAAAGGAAAATAAAGACGTAAATAATATTAACTTTATAGGAACTTGAAGTTATAGCTCTGCGTGAATAATATAGATCGAGCGGGATGTACTCGTAATAATAGCTACTACTTTCATAATAATTTGCTTAGTATTTCGACCTATTTGGTTTACGTCGCAATTTGCTAAGATTCACCACAGTCCAAATCCCTGTAACCTGAAGCAATAATGTTATCTAGGACGAATTTGTGAATGTGTTTCTTGTGTGCTACTTACATTGGGATACACTGAGAGTTGTATTCTAGAACTCTACTCAATGCTCAAGTCAGGATTTGAGTATGGTTTAAAGCACTTGATATCATACTCAAGTCCCTGCCATTAGGGTCGTATTTCCAGTGCAATCCTGACTTGAGCATTGATAGGAGTTCTAGAATACGACCCTAAGAATGCTTCAAGTCCTGTTAAAGTTAATTAGATGAAGTGTGTTCTATTTTAAGATGTACTTTGTTTAAGGAAAGGAAGTTTAATAATGTTATATATACACGCACTGTAGAGTCTCTGCGCGTAATGTTTAAAAGAGAATACATGGTAATGTTTGCAGTACACTGGACAAAATTTAGGACGACCCCGTATATTACCATATAAATTTTCTCCGACCAACTTGTGTATTTTAAAGCAAGCCTATTCTGCAGCCGCTGTATCGACGCTCTGTGACGCTGTGCGTGTGTTGGCAAGACTTAGTAGCGGTCTAGTTGAGGGTCTGAAGCGAGGAGCCCTCGCTCTTGCCCTTTAAGTTGGAAGCCTTGTCCGTACATTGGCGCAGGACACTGCGATTGGCATCTCCGGCACTACCCCGGAGAGCTAGTAGAGGATAAGCTAGATATCTTCCGGTTCCTCCAGCCGCCCGGTTATTGGGAGCTGGAGAGACATCGTTTTTCGGTGTCGGGAAGTGAGCGTGTGTGTATAAGGTTCCTGTGCACACTCAGGCTATAGTGCCCTTTCCGTATACCCTAAGGGTCGGTAGGGAGGGTCACTAATCAAATCTAACGTAGAAAGATATGGGGTTGTTGACAAGACGCTGTGCGTGCTTTGGCAAGACATTGACGCAAGTGTGGGTGGTATTTAAGTAAGTAGCGTTACGTTGCGACACCGCATTGCTCGTGTGGCACTCTTTGCGTCGCAACGCACCGGAACATGCAGCGCCCGAGTGGCATCGCTTTTAGGTTCCATGCAGGCGCACATCGATTAATAACAAGGGTGAAACTAATCTCAAATTATACTTGCTACAAAAATCGGTATGATAGTTATTTATGTAATGATAGTTATGCAAGGCTGCAAAGTTGTTTTTTGCAGCGAGTGCTTGTATTGAAACCTGGGCAAGCGAGGGAAGCTAAGATTCAAATATAGATTTCTGAGCGTCGTGAGGGTTTCAAGGCAAAACAAATTTGCTGCCGAGCGAAACACACAACTTTTCACCTCACTATAGTGGGGAAATGGTAGATGAAAGAAAAACAGTAGTACTCTAAAACCTTTTTTAATGAAAAGAAAAAGTTTATCTTCGGATGCGTTCTGAATATACACCTCATCAATTTTTTATTCTTGCTTGTAATTTTATTTTGTGCGATTAAGTGATTAGTGAAACTATTTTAGTTCTTCGACGAATTAAAATAATTTAATAAACACAAAAAGTTATCATTGTCAATTTAATGCCAACAATAATAAGAAAAAAATATACCAACGGATTTATGTTACTTAAATAAGTAATGTACGACAAA